TACGAATTCGCACATCTATGTTGGCTCTGGAAGCAATGACAATGCACAAGGCTTGTTTACACGAGGCGACGCAAGAGTTGAATCCAAACCTTAATTAGCGACATACGTAACCCAAATTTTAATGAAAAAATGTGTTTTATTTGTGCGTCCTCCTACATCTCAAACATGGAGTAAATGTCGCCCCAAAGCACCGAAGCTTCACGATGTGGTGAACCGTTGGTTTGTGCCACAGCTGTGCTAGCGCTGGCAGCCAAATTTCGCTATATTATTGCCTCATTTATGCATTAAATTGTGGTCCTCCGTTATGAGATATGGGATATTGACACGTGGCGATAAGCGTAAGCACTAACATGAAGTGAGCACACCCCATGAAGTGAGCACCACCACATGAAGTGAGCACTACCACATGAAGTGAGCACTACCTCATGAAGTGAGCGCTACCCCATGAAGTGAGCACTACCACATGAAGTGAGCACTACCTCATGCAGTGAACACTACCCCATGAAGTGAGCACTACCCATGGAGTGAGCACTAGCCCATGAAGTGAACACTACCCCATGAAGTGAGCACTACTAATGAAGTGAGCACTACCCCATGAAGTGAGCACTACCCCATGAAGTGAGCGCTACCCCATGAAGTGAGCACTACCCCATGAAGTGAGCACTAGCCCATGAAGTGAACACTACCCTATGAAGTGAGCACTACTAATGAAGTGAGCACTACCCCATGAAGTGAGCACTACCCATGAAGAGAGCACTACTCATGAAGTGAGCACTACCCCATGAAGTGAGAACTACCCCATGAAGTGAGCACTACCCCATGAAGTGAGCACTACCCGTGAAGTGAGCACTACCTCATGAAGTGAGCACTACCTCATGAAGTGAGCACTACCTCATGAAGTGAGCACTGCCCCATGAAGTGAGCACTACCTCATGAAGTGAGCACTACCTCATGAAGCGAGCACTACCCCATGAAGTGAGCACTACCTCATGAAGTGAGCACTACCCCATGAAGTGAGCACTACCTCATGAAGTGAACATGGAGCAACGCTTCAAGAGTATATTCCAGTTCCATTTTCAAATTGAACAGGACCTCAGCTTGCAGTAGGTGTCTTGTATTATTTCGAAGGTTGAACAGAGTTATAGTCTAGTTTAATAGTGGTGCACTCTGAATGAATGAATATGGAATGTGAAAGAAATTGTAGGGTATTAATTAAGTGTTTCCAGTCATAGCTTGTTTCCTAGCCAAAAATACTGTTTTAGGGATTTGAAAATGAATTGATTTTTAATGCATTATGGAAATTTACTTCATTTTACATGTATCTGAAATTTAAAAAAGAAGCAAAGACCGTATTTACTCATTTTTTATCATTTTCCTGGTAGAACGGGATCCAAATTTTCGAAAGCGTTCAGAGTTTCTTAATTGCTTCTCCACATCTGGGAATTTATGAGAGCATTTCCAGGGCCTGATATAACATCTAAGCACCAAGTAGGGTGATCGGTACAAGAACTTTGCTGGGACTCTCTCCTGCCGCTGAACACTAGCTATAACATTTTCTGCTCGAGTGCATTTCTACTCTTTCGCGAATCTAATCTCCATGAAAACTCATTGCTTCGGATGAAACCACTAATTATTTTTTACAGGTAACATTCATTTTATTCGAGAGATTTTATTTCAACAAATTTTGTTATTTCTGAATTTATAGCCTTCTAACGTTTATTATTACCCAATCCTATTTAACTTCACTTCATGTTGCTTGTCTGTCTGCTACAAATCTTATAATCGATATTTAACAGGTTTCTACCTGTCCAATCGATCAGAAATTTTGAACCATTGTCTAAATTTGGAGACAATGCAATTAAGAATCAATTGACAGAATCACCAAATAAGTAGTCGATCAGTGGTAATCAATTAATTCTCTTTTGTATGAAAAATTTTTTTATGAAATCTTATACTTCACGCAGTTCACAAGCAGCTGCAGAAAAATTTTATCAGATGGTAGCTGAATTATAGCTGCGTGTTGATATTCAATAATCTATAAATTGTGCTATTTAAATAGTCAAAAGTCAAAAGAAGGAAACCCACTGATTATACTGAGCGTGCCGATGGCTGCACGGCATTAGGGCGGGTAAACATGATACGTCGTATGAAAATAATAAATTTAAAAATAAAATAAAAATTTATTGTACATGTGTAACATCGGAGACAACGGCCTCTTTTGAAGTGTGGTCTTTAAAAAGCACTTTTTAAACGCATATTATTTTTGAAGGGTTCCTGCTTTAAATGAATTAACTTGTAGGGATTTACTCACAAGCACATGGTAGATGTAGATGACAGTGTGGGTGTCCCTGATGCATCTACCGTCCGTGGGGCTGAACGAGCCTGGCGAGTGATGGTATGTACAGCGCCGCTCCTTGAACTGCTGGAACTGCCAGCGATAAAGAGATAAAGAAATGAATATTAATTATCCAGTTAAGTGCTATAAAATACGATCATATTCCACGTTTCATTACTTTTAATTTTCAATTTATTATAAATATTATAATGTAGTTCAAAATCAAACGTGACAATGCTTGCTATGTACATATGAAAATGTTACGAATATGTTTGAAGCTGTCACGGAACCAAAATAAACCATTGAGTGAACAAAGAAAAATTAATAATAATAATAATAATATTGATAAAAGTAATATAAGTTGAATGTAAATTAAATGAATTTGAAAAATCCTGACTTGAATTTATAATGAATGACTAATGCTGAAATTTAGTCGGGCGATCGAACGGTTTTATAGCGAACGAATTGAATTTTTACAATAAACACGTCGCCATGAAGTTTAATCTTCCATAAATAATTCATAACTATTTATGCACTGAGAATCAGAGTTTGTACGAAGTATTTGATATGCATTAGAAACAAATATAAAGCGTATGCAAACGCGAGCTCTATGAAAACCATTTGGTTAAAAACTAGCATAGAAACTCCGCTAGGGATGAGAACAAACGTTTTCATTAAAAAGCAACAGGAAACTTGATTAAATCTCAGAATACAGTTTTTTTTCTAGAATATTTTCGATAGTTTTCTAGCTACTTCGCGGTGATTTTTGTTGTCGATTGCTGACGATAAAGTCTTTGAAGAGAAGGTCTCCTTGTGCATAATCAGAGCAACTATATTGAAACAAACGCTTATACATCAATAGAGTGAGTAGAGTAGCATGAGTAGTGTAAATAGGTAGATTTAAGTAGAATAACTGAAATATATAGAGGAAGTAGGGTAGAATACGTAGAGTATAATGAATAGGGTAGATTAAGTAGAGTAAATGAAATAAGTAGAATAAATAGAGAAGAATGAATAGGGTAGAATGAATAGAGTAGAATGAATAGGGTAGAATGAATAGAGTAGAATGAATAGAGTAGAATGAAATGAATAGAATGGAAAGATTAGAATGAATAGAGTAGAATTAATAGAGTAGAATGAATAGAGTAGAATGAATAGTGTAGAATGAGTTGAGTAGAAGCAATAGAAGCAGAGTAAGTATGGTGGAATGAGTAGGTACAGTAGAGAAAGAATGGTAGTAAGTAGGGTATTTTAAGTAGAGTACGGAAGGCAGAATGAGTAGAATTGAGTAAAAGGGTGCAGAGCGAGTAGTGAAGAGACGAATTATCGTTAGATTTCATGAATAAGTAGTTGCAACAATTAACGGTTGCAACTACTTCAATAACAACATAACAACAAAATGCAACACGAATTCGGAAGTACAGTTTCTTACATTTTTAATGTCATACTGAAATCGAAATAATAGGGTAATTTTGTTAAAAAAAATTTGTTGGTGGTTGAACTATTAGCTTCATTTAAAATGAAAATAAATGAAATGAACAAATATAATAAATGGAAAAATAAAAATTGCAAGTCTTCGAGAATAGAAATAGAAAAAAATTCGAAGTTGTGAAAATAAATAAAAATTATTAGAAGTCTTCCTGGTGTATTACGATACAAAACAAATTCTAGAAAAAATTTTGATATAAGCTTCTTTAATGATTATACTTAACTAAAATAGTTTAATCCGTGAGTGATTTTAGTCGTGATTTTATTTGTGGTTCAACCAAGGAACATGCAAGAGTTTTAGAAAATTCGCCGATTAATCATTAAAAGAATGAGTTGAAATAATTTCTTCATGTTATACACTCATTTAGCTATTTGAAACTAGTGGGTATCTTTCTCTGTTACAAATGTTTACATAACATATTAAAGCTTTGTACTTGTGTAAATTTTCTTGATATTGGTGACGAAGGACAATCATTGACCTGCATTATATGTGCCTATCTCAAGATATTCTGTATAAGTTTAAAAAATGCTTGCAGTTAAATTTGATGGTCAAATATTGTTCTAGGTTTCATTGATGGAAAATCTGGATTTTCCTTGACATCGACGCAGTTATTTTGAACGCTATCTGGATGCATAGACTTTAGCAGAACGGCTGAAATTTTGAGTGAGTCTTCAGGTCACTAAAGGTTCTTCGTCTTTCTTATTGAAATATGTTGACAGACAAGAGAATATCTGAGCAACTGATCGGCTATCTCACCTTCTGCAAATGTCACTGAACCTATAGTTGCGCGTAGCGCAATTCTAGCGAATCCTAAAATTCTAGCGTAGCGAATGAAGAATACGGATTTGGACAAAGCGCTATTGCCAGATTTTTTTATTTTTATTAATTCGAAAAACCAACGTTGGTGGGTTACTTTTGATTAATTTGTTGTTTAAAATTCAAGCGGGTGTGGATATTAAGCAGTAAATTCCAATGCACTAGATAGCACGTTTTTAAAACGTGCCCTCATTGTTTTATATAAGCAAAACGAATTTACATGCAGTACACGCAGTTTATTCTCAATAATAAACGGCCAGGAGTTAATGTATCTTCTGCTTACTCACGACCCTGTACTCACTACGTACTCCCTGTACTCACTACGTACTCCCTGTACTCACTACGTACTCCCTGTACTCACTACGTACTCCCTGTACTCACTACGTACTCCCTGTACTCATTAAGAGCACAGAGAGGTGCCGCCGCTGCGACGCTCACGAGCCAGACGCCCGCGAGACGCCAGCTCGGCAACGCGTGCCGGTGCGCGCGTAGCGGGCGCAGCACGGCGTATACGCGCTCCAGGGACAGCGTGCTGAGCGTCAGCACTGACCCGAGCAGGCATGATGCTGCACAACACCATACTTGGGATAACTATGCTGCGCAGAAGGGTTTTGAGCACACATCATCACAGTTATGAGCAGCAGGGCTGTTTTGAGCATACATCATCATAGTGATGAGCAGCAGGGCTGTTTTGAGCATACATTATCACAGTTGTGAGCACAATGCTGAGCAGCAGGATTGTATTGAGCATACATCATCACAGTTATGAGCACCATGCTGAGCAGCAGGGCTGTTTTGAGCACACATTATTACAGTTATGAGCACAATGCTGAGCAGCAGGACTGTTTTGAGCACACATCATCACAGTTATGAGCACCATGCTGAGCAGCAGGACTGTTTTGAGCACACATCATCACAGTTATGAGCACCATGCTGAGCAGCAGGACTGTTTTGAGCACACATCATCACAGTTATGAGCACCATGCTGAGCAGCAGGACTGTTTTGAGCATACATCATCACAATTATGAGCACTATGCTGAACAGAAGGATTTTGAGCACACATCATCACAGTTATGAGCACCATGCTACGTAACAGCACGAATAGAAGCTGTCGCTGCCGAGCATGGCTTGTATAAGAGTCATGCTGCACTGTATCATGGTTATCATAACAATTATGCACATAAAAACAGTCATAATAACTATGTTGTAGAGATGTGGGCTTGATAATACATATGTGAGCTCGGAAGTTAATGCCAAATGATTGAGAACGAATTAGAGTTGAACATGCGATGGGTAAATTACACTTGGCGCTAGCTTTTTTGAACTCTACACGATGTTATAAATGTGAATGGTGCAGTCATGAACAAGATGCTGTCAATTTGACGGATGTAGTTAAGAACGCGATAATATAATTTGACTGATGCAATTACGAACGCGATACGCAAATAATTTAGTTATGAAGGCAATGCTGGATATGTGATTATGTTATGCGCTCAGTGTTAAAGTGTGCCTTCAAAACAACCTTTATTGTTATTAATTTCGGAAGTCGATATTTAAATACAATTACTTTAAGCATCCAGCATGTGATGAAACGCTATACTGCAATCATGTGGTTTGTATTATATCCCTATTCTTAAATATTGTTTATATTCAGTAAAAGTAAATAAATTTTAGTTCAGTAAATTTGTGAACTATAAAATAACAGTAGGCTAGGACCACCAAAATATCATGCGGTCGACCTGTGATGTGTCAGCAAAAAACGTCGTTCGACTTTTTGAAAAACGGATGAGATAAACTTTGACAAATATTTATACATATGTATAAGTATTTGTCAATGTATATGTCAAAATTTATGTGTGATCAGCCCCTATATACGGAAAAATATAAATAGGGGCTGTTAGAGAGTCATATCCACGATATCTATCATATAGCAGCTTATTATTATTGCTATATTGATTATACCTGCAGGTAAGACTGCATGTAAATAAAAAATTGTAATTTATTTCCAAAAATTTGTGTTATGAATGTAATAAAATTACTAATAACTTTTCCATCTATTCACATAAGCGAGAATCAAATGAGAGTTCAGTGAGTTCTATTTCAAATGTGGGTTTGAACAAATCAGTTTTAATTAGTATACATTTGCTTTATTAAAATTAATGGGATTGTGGTGATTGAGATGACGAGTTTCCGGACAACAAGGTCAGAAAATTAATCTGTATTCAGTCGAACTTATATAATTGATACTATAATATGGTTATGTATATATAACCAAGTTTCGATTTTAGTTGCGACGTTTATGTTACATAAAAATCCATCACTGATTCATTTGATGGATTTTTCAGAAGATTCAGAAAATTCATTTAAATGCAGGGAAACAATTCATTTCAAACTAACTAGAATTTTTCTGTAACTCGAAAGCCTCTGGTGCCAAAAACGTTTGAAGTTTCTAATTGAGTTGAAGAGCCGAGATTATGAGCTGTTGACACGAGCCTTCAATTTCCAATTAGTTCTTCTGATGTTTAATTGGACGTTATTATTGAAAATTGTTCAGACTTTGAAGAGCATATTGGAAGCTAAAAATAGTGCTAGGAACATATCGGAAATTAATTTAGTTTGGTTATTGTTCAGTAAAACTTCATTAAACTCCATTGTAAGATGACGGAGAACTGCTACATAGTGAACATTTAGATGCTTCGGCTGAATTATTAAAGTTAGACTCTGCAGTTTATTAATGTTATTTTATTTCATTGCAAATCGTGCCCGAGTTCAATACGAATATTTATTTCACGTTTAAGTGAGTTTAAGGAGAGCTTTTAAATAACTCTGTAAACTATTGGCTTAAATTCTGCATACCCTTGACCATTACTGTACGTACACTTACAAACGAGTTGTCTGAATGTGTAAATTTACTTTTAGTAATGCTCTCTTTTCTCGCAGGGCTGCGGCCTCCGTTGAACGCATGTGTGCCGTGTACATCTTCTGTTATAGGGAGCCACAGACGCTATTACGGAACTATTTGATCAAGTCTACATCTGTTTATGCGAGTTAAAATGCCTCTACCTTTTGAGAATCCCTCCGACAGAGAAGTACGTGCGTCTATTGGTGCTCAATGCTTCAAATCAGTTGCCATTCATCGTCAAATCATTCACATCTATGGCGAAATCATCAAACCGCTCCACTTTACTTGGAGCAATACGTCAGCTATGTAGTGAGAATAAATTCATCTTTGTTCCCAATTAACTGGAATGTATCTCAAGAGTTTCATTCAATTGATGCAGTTAAAGTTGATGATGTTGAATATAAATAAATTGAAACCATTTTAAAATCGTACTCAGATGGCTTCTTTCATGGCAACATTAAGTCGAGCACTGCCCACAAAACATGAATTATTTATCTGAACTAAAGGAGTAGCGCGAGAATGACATCGTTGATAAATCTTGGATAAATTAAATTTGATCAATAAAACGATAAGAAGGCGAAATAATTCCACAAAGTTACCGGAATACTGCGTGAACATGGGCTTAGTTGCCTACAAAACAACAACGAGCCCGAAGTACGAATTTGCGGCAACGGATTTGAGGTGATGATGATGAAGGGAGAATTCGGTTATGCATGTAAATTCTCAACACATAAATGTATAAAAATTGCTGGAGGAAGATATCCTTTATTTCTGTTAAAACGTCAGAGAGTTATAAAATATAGTGCAATTATACCTGAAAATAATTAAAGAGTTACTGCTCTTTGTAAGACTTCATTGAGCCTCGTTCAATTGAATGCTGTGTTTTTCCATATATGCGTGGGTACGTTCTGGGTTTTCAATTAATTTATGTTATATAACTCTGTGTGTTCTTTAAATGTAACCTAGGTCATCAGGTATTAGGTATGAGAATCAAGGAAGGAGCATCTGGGTCTGAAAAATTTCGCTTATTAATTGACCGATATTTCTATTACTTCAACACATGTTTTGTTGAACGCGTTGGTCCGCTTGAATTTTTTGAGCAACAGTAGAAAACTTTATAAAGGAAATTACAAATTTTTAAACATGTAAAGTTTACATTTGCAGTCTCCAAAATGATATTATATGCAAAATACGATATAGATGATCATGATTGTATCATGATGGATTCGATACAATCGAATCCCGATTCCCAAGCTCGTTCATGAATTTATTTTTTTGCAGAAAAAAAGCTATTATCATTTATTTAAGAACGTCTTGCAATGTATAAAAAACTTGCATGTTTTGCAAGATAAAAACGGCCTAATTTACCGCCTTGGCCGTTTGAAAGCCTTGTTTATAGCTACAAAATAAGCTCGGCAAATGAAAATGCCACTTATTTTATTTTTTGACCCTGACGCTTTCATTTCTAAATAAAAATGAAATTGCGAAGAATACCATTTTAGAACAGAAGAATATATTTTGCCTATTGTTGAGCTTAACCTTTGTTATTAAGCGTACTAAGAAATAGTCATAGCCTCGGCTCGAAATATCAATCTTTACCTTGGACGAAGGATCCAATTCTGCACATGAAGGGGCCGAGAGGATAGTTGTAGAAGATGTTCTTCACAAGATGGTTCCAGATGCACACGCAAGTGATGAACAGATCAGCGATGGCTAGGTTCACTAAATAGAAATTCAGTGACGTCTTCAAATTGGGACTCCAGAAGACCACGATTACCACGATGGTGTTGCCGATGATCGACGAAATGAAGAGAAGCACTACGGACGAAACGAAAGACCATTAAACTTATACGTAATTTATGTGCCGAGGCAACAGGGTTTTATTGTATCATATTCCTATGCGTCAAGCACGTCACATTAAGCTGCTAGAATATAAATATTTATCTATTTTAATGGAACATAGTCAGTATCGTAATTTGTGGACGCTCCTCAGCCTAAATAGTCTGTGTAACGAACATGTAAAATTTTGCAACTGTTTGCACGTGCTCATTAAGATTTAGCTATAGCTAGTATCACAAGTTCAGCTAAACCGTGCCTACATAAATCAATTCATATAATAATAATATACCGTGATCGCATAATACATTAAAAAGCATGGAGGAATTTTCATTTACCAAATATCTCCACTGCCTCCAAAACGCCCATGCATCATAGTAACAATCTCTATGCTAAAAGATGTATATTTTTAAGACGTATATTTTGCAGGCATTTACCTCACAAGAAAAAGTAAAGGCGAAGCAAGAAGCGTCTACGCAGTGAAATGAAAGTAAGCGTAAACAGAAACCCATTAAATAGTGGAAACATATGCAAAGCTTTACTCAGAGTTGCTGAGAAAATATTTACTTGAAAACCAAATGGGAAAGTTGAATTTTATTCTGTGGGCTGCGAGAATCAGGTTGTAAAGAATGGTAAATTCTACATAGTTCATATGCGCTGAACTGCATGTGACATGCATGGTTCTTTTTCCGTACAATAATTACTAAGCTGTGCTTTTATGGTTGAAGGTTTCCTGATTGTGACGCTACCGAGAATAGATATTTACAGAACATTAGGGGATTATTCATTATGTAAGCAATTAAAAAATATTTATATTTTTTACAAGTTCCACTTAATGACGGCATTAAAACGTGAACAATTAATGAGGGCATTAATAATGGCGCCGTCAAACGTTAAAATAAGCAAATGAGAGATAGATTAATTCTAACCATATTTTTCCGTAGTCCTACTTCCATACCTGTGACTTATCAATGTAAATGCATATATTCTTCAATTTCTTTACGATTGGTAATTCAAGCGATTTTGCTGTATGCCACATATCATAGCTAAGGGTACGCACACAGTGAAAGCAGGTTGCCAGCGTGCTGGTTACCTGCTCAGGCTGGCGCCTGAAACCATAGAATACAGAAGCCTATTCGTACAGGTTTTCACTGTGAACACTTACATTATTATCCTATTTTCATTCTTGTGGCAGGTTGGAGCAGGTTGCCCGCGCGGGCAAACCTGCTTTCACTGTGTGCGTACCCTTAGCCTTATATCTAGTAATTACAAGCTGGTCCGTTTTGACCAGTTAGTTTGAAAGGTTTGAAAGTATAACTCGTATCAAGTTTATATTTCCTTGCCAATGTGTAATTGGCATATTGAGTTACTTAATGAATGTGATTTGAACGATTATAGCTCCATAATTCACTAATCCTCGATAATTGTATCAATTTTCCAACGTCAGATATTAATAAATATGACTGAAATTTCGTAGCTGGGTATTGGTTATACGTTTCGCGAATGACAACCTAAGAGCTCAAAAATATTATCCATAGAAAAAATTGTTTAATAAACCGGAGTTCGAACGATTTATTTCCCATATTGCATTGATGAAAATAATATTATGAGTTATTGCTAGATAGAAATGAACGCATGACACGCAGTGATATTGTGCCACTTTAAAATATTACTTTTTTTTTATTTTGTTGAGCCGAAAATCAACAAGTGGGGCCCCTTTTTTCAGCAGAACTTATTTCAGATCAGCTAGAGTCTCGATTGTTTTGCCCACATCAGCGGCTCATCTCCTATCAATCGGGATATAAAACAACTCCTGATCGAGCAATGCAGCTTCAGACAAAAAATATTTTCGCTGCCCACTCAACAACTTCGATCCTTATATAAACTCTCATTTTGGTCTCTCAATTAAATAAACAGCATCTTTTGAACCTTCAATTGAGGAAAATATATCCTCATCTTTTATTATTTCTTAGCAACATCAATTGAAATATTAGCAAAAATTCTATAATATCTGGATTTTCTTTTAAACTCTGGTTACATTTTTTCTTCAATTATTCATTTTAATTGCCGGCAAAAATTCAGAAAGCCTGGAAACGCACAAAGTAAATTCATTATATCTTGTTCAATGTTTCTGAAACCTGCCTCATTATCAGTTCAAAAATTTGGAGAATTCAAGTACAGTCAATAGAGAGAAGTATAATTTATACGAAATAGATGAAAACTTAATAACCGAAAAAACGGCCCGAAGAACAAATCTATCGATTAACAATTCAAAAATAAAAAATTTCCACCCTTGATAACCTAACTCTTCGTCTGACATAAAATTTATCAACCAATATTCCTCTTAAAGAAACTATTCAGTCTGAACCGCAGATTTTTCAAGTACTTCGGAAATCATGTTATGAACTGAATGTTCGTCTTTGCAGTAAAATTTTGAAAACAATTTAATGTCTTATAGGAATGGATCTAAACCTTGGATCTACACTTGCGAATATTTTCATGAGCTTTGATGAGGTTTCTTGGTGGCCGATTGCCCCATTAACTTCGAGTCAATTTTTCACGATAGATATATTGATGACTCCTTTCTAATCTTCCAGCATCGCACCCATGCGAGCCTCTTCTTCGATTATCTGAACTTGAAATATTCATCCATAAAATTTGCTTGCAAATGAAAACCAACAATAATATTTGTCGTTTCTCCTGTCAGTCCGAGGAGTGGAACACAATTAATGAAGGCAACCAAAGAATTTTAATTTTTATGAAAATTTGAACGATTCTAAGCATTCCATTGCCACTTGACCAGCGTGTTTAGTTGAATATAGATTTCAAAGGGTAGGTATATATGATATCAGTTTAAAGATGGGAAATTAGATTTTTCGTATCCAAGTTACGTTTCGAAATGGTTTATTACGATGAAAAGGAAGGGAAAAATAGTCATTTTTATTTTCACTGCCTGATTGATTCGTTTCCAGGCCTTTAGTTGTAATGTTGTTGGTCAGCAGGATCTTACTAGGTTAGTTAGTTTTTGCTGCTCACGTTTATTTCAGTGATCTTCCTATTGGTATACGAAATCGTAAAATCTTGTCTGTTTGAAAGCTGTATATTACTTGGTTCTGAAACTCTACTTTCTGTAAAGGTACAATAGAATGTCAATAGACAGAAGTTACTTGAATTTGTACAAGTTGATATTAGTTAGTAGTATAGCCCGTCTCTTATTATTATTAAGAATTATCGTGACCCATAGGGGACCATAGATATATCGTTGCTGATTGAAGCCAAAGGTTCAACGACACTCGGATGGCCACCTGCTCGTCACTGCCTTGTAAAATGTGATATTGAGGTGTAAAAATTCGGAAAAAAGTGCACTATAACGCATTAGAAACCGCAAACAAAAGTTACAAAGGAAAAGATATTTCAAATAATCAACAGAGTTCAAAATAGCTATGAGGGGAAAATCGACTTTGATGTGTTATTGGAAGCTTTAAGGTTTTGTTCTCTAAGCTAAAGAAATAATTATTTGAAGAAATTCGAAATTATAATCATGATGACTTTAATGTGGGGCATGCAGTGTTTTGATAAAAGAGGTTCGTACATATATAAAAAAAAATTCCCGAAAAATATACTGATAGATAGCTTCCCGACATATGTGCTGGTAGAAGGCTTCCCCAGTAAAAAAGAAGCGATCCTCTATAATTTGGAACACGAAAGCCTGCAGATTCAACTTACCATCAAAATAGTTACCTTATCCACTCATTCGATGGAAGTCATCAGCCTTGGAAACAAATTATGTTTCTTACCAATCACGTTTTTAATTTACCATTAATTAACCAATAATGATAATTAAAATAATAATAATCACATTGCCCAAAAATTTCTTATCAGCTCCGGCCAATATATTTTTTGTTAGTACGTTATATTGAAAACAAAAAGAAATTTTACTCACCTATGCAAGTAATCCTGATTACCGTGCTCCAGTCTGTGGTAGACCAGGTGCTGGCGTCCATGGTAAAGTTAGCGAAATATTCGACTGTGGATAAGTTGAGGACGGCATCGTTGCTTTCACATAAATAGCGCAGCACTTCGATGGGCAGCTCACTAGCGTTCAGAGGCGCCGGTGAAGATAAAAAACCTCGGGACGGATCAGCAACTGCATCCGGGACTACGGAGAAAAGTTCGCTCGTAGTCTGTGACGAGAACTGTCTTGGCGTCGACAATTGTACTTCTGCCATAGTGATGGATTTTACTCACTCAAATATTTTTCCGCCGAAATGGAAATTTGAAATGGAAAGGTGATTCGGTTTCAGCGCAGTTGAGTAATTTAGTTACGATATACCGTGTATTGCTTATTCAGCCCGTTTGCTTTTTTTAGAAAATGGTCCACGGCGTTGGTTGCATTTATTTTAATCTTTTCAAATGCATACAAACAATGGAATGAAGTTTTGCTCACCAGTAACAGCATACGCAACAAGAATTTGATTTTTACAAATTTTGTTGTGACGGCAATCATGAAGAATTATTTTTGGTGAACTTGAATTTTTTCGTTATTATTGCTCCCATTCATTAAATATCTGTAAGGACCTCGGAAGAGCTAAAATATACGTTAATATTTTTATATCTAATTAGGATATGTTTGAATACATGTTGATTCCAACACAAAAGGATATTGCATGTAGTGTCTTGGTTTCTTATTAAAAAACTTACAGTCCCTTTCATCACGACAAAATACCTCTGAAAAGATAATAACACAATTGTGAGAAAATTTACTTAAAAAATTAAAAATTTGGATAAATATATCATCAAGAATAAATCCTCATTCATGATTGTATCATCACTCGATACAATGGATCTTGATTAATTTTTTACATAAAATAATCTTGTCATACCTATCAATTATTTTCCTCTCGTCCAAAATGAGCAATCTCAAAGCAATCATGCTTCTCGCCGCTGGACTGTGTTCGATAATAAACAATTTCGACGTGATAAGTTGAGGAGATATTATCGGACTCGGAGTAGAGAATGAAATACGTTTTGCTGACCCACCATTTACTGACCTGAAATTAGAACTGCATAAAGAATTCTCTGTTGATCAGACGAAGTTCTCGATGCATCAGAATGGCTGGATGTGTAGCATTACGTATCAGCCTTAGTTCGATTTAATTGACGGCTTGTAAACAATAAATATATGAGGTCGCGAAAGAGATAATGACGATGATTCCTTCAAAATATTCTGGTTTTTATTATGAAAAGCGTATTACTACACGTACGAGAACGGTGATTATATTCCCGATTGTAAAGTTGTCGGGTGCAAATGACTATTTAAGTTCACGTTATATTCTTAGCAGAAATTGGAGATGAACTGCTATGCAACGGTTTCAGTAACATTTTTGTTGGTAGTTTTTGGGAAAATTTCCCAAATCCGTTTCCTACACCACGACGATAAGAAACAGTGATCCATCGCCCTTTGCTATAATACCAAATCCCATCTCTCAATTAATGGCTTCTCTTGAACTCTTTCTCTCACGTCCCGTACAGTTTCCCTGCTGTTTATGCTACGCAGATTTCAGATCATTTCCTTCATTGTTGCGTTGCTATGAAGATGTTGTGCTCAACGTTTGATCAGTTGCTTTTCAGATTATGGTGCTTGCGATTTTCTTAAGCATACAGTGAAGATATTTCTAGAAGAGGTCTTATATACGTATTCTGGCAAGGGGATTACAATAATAACATGAAATTCGACGTTAATCCGATGAAAATAAACTATCGAATTGAAAATAAAATTGCTTGGAGTGCAATTCACACAAAATAAGCCAACAAATAACTTCCGAGTGCAAATAAGAGCGGCGCTTATTTGTAAAAGTCAGGTGTGTTGTTCCAAGTCCTATAAATTCTGCCGACTTCCGATTTTATCAAGCACAGATACGCTCGACTTCGGAAGTCTCGGTCCGTTTTAAGAAAGAATAAATCGTCTTTGGAAAACTGCATCACGCCACCGTATTACGATTTATTTTCAGGACAAAAATTGTAACATCTTGGTTTCCCAGTCAATCACCAATGTGGGCAACGATGTCGATTAGTGTGGGTTACTGCATATCGCGGGTGATCCGACCACTCGAAGATTTAGAAGTCGAGTTTCCTTGAATAATCTATGCAGATGCATGGTGAACTATCGACTGTGGGTTTATCGTTGCAGATCGAAGTATCTGGGTGTGGGCAACTTTACAGAGCAAACCGAAAAATTCATGCGAAAACATGTCGGTTGGCTATTCAATCTAATAGAATAATTGATCGGAAATTGATATGCACTTTAATTTATGATTACCCAGTTAAAATTTTATTCAAAATTGCGTTCAATCTAGTTCAATAGATAGAATGAGCTATGTCGGGTAGATTTCTGATGTCAGTTACGATTATTATACCACGTAATTATTTTAATACTTTGAAATACGTAAGTGTTTTACTAGCTTTCCAAGTTTGAACGCTTCCGCAAAGAGGAACGTTTAAGCCTTAATGTTACCTTGACCTTAATAATGTTCAGGAGATATAGATTAGTTTGCCTTAAAATTTTTAAAATTCCTCAATAATCGTCGTTGCGCCCCGCGACATTGCCCTCTCCGTTGCCCACTCCAAATGGAGGTTTGCCCATGTCGATCGAGCAAGAATCTGCATTAATTTCTTCATCGATCCGCCCTAATCTTCATCGATCGATTAAGACCTGATTGACTGGGTTGATATGCTATAAACTGAGAATTTATGGAAGCGAGGCAAGGAAATTTTGAATTTTTTAATGTTTGAACAGTGCATTCCGCATGCATTATAGACTTATGCGTATATGCGAGTTCGGTCTCAAGTGCCATTTAGAGATGAATCAATATTAATTAAGCGATGGGAGCCGTTAATTCTTACCTACCGAGTAATTCTTTAGAGAATATTGTTTTCCAGGCAAGTAAATGAAGATATAACTGCTGAGTGACAGGCGAGTACACTAATTAGTAGGGAAATAAAGAAAAAACTTAGTTTACCACATAAAATTGGAAGAAGATGCGAACCCAAATCGGCTTGAACAATTTTTCAAACATTTGTTTTGAGGATGATTTGAAATGGGGCTAGAGTGTAGCATAGAATGAACTAGAAGACAAGTTAGCAAATACAGTTTTGAAAGTTTAATTTCACTTTATTCTAGTAAAAGATTTAAAATTATGAGGTCAAAAAGTTCGAAAAAGATAGTCAGAGATTCGAAATTTTAATTTTTTTATATCATGTGTTAAATCTGCACTTCTAAATATTAATAAATTGAAGCTCTGACAAGACGTGATTTTTCGTACTTTGGTGCAAAATAATTTGAAGTTAACATACTATAATACATGCCATAAATGCTTCGCTTTAATAAGGCATCCGTTGAAAATTTTTAAGCCCGTTTATCTCTTCCTTCCTAAATTATAAAAAGTGAAATAAATGTCTATTAAATTGAAAGTGATAACAAAGAAAATCATTCAAGACTATGAACAGTTTATTATAAATGCAATAAAACAGTTTATTTTAAATGATAAAAATTTAAATTATATTGATATCGTTACACGTTTTTTATTGAGCATTCAAATCCAGAAGTTTCCATGAATCACGTGAGCAGTTGAACGCGATAACATTGAGGCACTAGTTTTACTCGACCTGTCGGCTGCATTTTGCACGGTCCATCACCCCAACTTAGGCTTCGAGTCGACGCGATGTCTTCCAGAAGACGACTGCGTTTGTCGTCAACAATAGTCGACCTTGTCGTACCATCAACACGCCCCGCTATCGTTGGTGGCAGAGCGTTCCACGTCGCCGCTTCTTTTTCATCAACTTCTGTTGCATCGGCCTCTGCAGTACTTGTGTTTCGTCGACGCTTATAGACAGAACCATTTCGTGGAGCCTTTGAATGTTGTAGATAGCTGTTCTTATCCTTTTTCATGTCTCATTTGATATCTACTCGTGGTACTAATTTTAATTTTTTTCTCGATAGTTAGTCATTCAAAATATTGTAGGAGACGGCTTAGCCTGCAAAGAAGGTATTCCGTAAACTGAAAGCTGACGGCAGGAAAAGAAAAAAATATATAACTCAGTACTCACGGCAGTGAGTGACAGAGAGCATTTTCTCGTCGACGAAAACGTGAAGTCACGGACGGACAGACGGACAGTTGGACGGACGGATGGACGGACTGACGGACGGACACACGGGCATGGCGAGCACAATAGTGCATTTTTTCCATAAATGAGAAAATGCGCTAAAATACGTTTGACGAACGATCGCCTCGCCTCGAAAGGTCGCTCTGTTTACAGTTTTTTTGACAGTTTGAAAACGTGCAGCGCAAGGCGACCGTATGAAACAATCACATCGACAATATGTGAAACAGTGTGCATCGTGTATGTCATTGCTGATACCGGAAATATAAAGAATTATACCATTCACAAACATGCTAAAAACTTGATTATAAATTGCGTAACTTAGGTATGCTGTCGGCGCTGCTGCGCGAAATAGGAAACAGAGAATCAGTCTGCAGGCTGCATGTTCTCTCTGAACCAGTCTGCCGGCGTTTTTGATAAATAAAAAACGAACAATCTAGCAACAAATTAATTTATTCATTTAATACTAAGTAGATTGCATAGCGCGTGCTGATTTTAAAAAATGCTGCGGGTAAAAAAGAAAAATGTATTATATAAATGGAGACAAATCGTGGACAATTGTGGATAAGCATGGTCAGTTAACATGTATATTAGACAAAACCAAAATAAATTTATTATGAACGAAATTATGAAATGAAAAAAATTTAAATATGAAGAAACAGGCGTGTCTAACTGCTATATAGGCCGGGACGGCGGGGCAAATTATTGACGACATTGCGGTGTAAAATAGTGTATGGTCGTCATGCTTAAATATCCAGATGCGATGTTCTAATTTACTAAACTAGCTTAGAATCGTTAAACCCAGATCGGAGTATGATCATACCACATGATTTACCGTTTAAATTAGGAAAGAAACGTCAGATGATTCCAAGCGGGTTTAGGTTAGCATGTGCAAACTGATCGCACTTTTTTGTGTTGGGTTGAAAAAAAAAATTAGAATACTATTTATTTATTTTCATGTGAATACTCAATGACACTCGAAGAATACGTTTGAAAGAGCATTAAAAAAGTGTGGAAAAAACTTTCAAAAGTAAAATGTAGAATGTTGTTGAGAGGATGAGAACCTAAA